TTTTTGGATGACGAGTTATGATGATAGGCACTTGTTTTTGGCTCTACCTCTATTTTTAAGAAATACAATTGGTTTTGATGTTTATTACCTATTAACCATTAACCAGGGCATATGGGCAAGGTGTTGAACAGAAAGGCATGAACTCTAGTACTTTATAGTTACTTTTGTTTAGTTTTGTACTTTATATGTTTCAATCTTTTCTAAGCAATTGTGCTTCTTTGCCATTCTTTTAGGGGGTCCCCAATTTGTGGCCAAAACTCATGATATTCAGTATACTTAGTTAAATCTGGCCATATATCAAATTTAAGCTCATAGTGTCTTTTCTGTAACCCTTTCACATAATCATTTACTCTTTTCCATAGATGTCTTAACTGTCTCATAAGATCTTTTTTGTTCTTTCTTTGATAGTAAGCACCAAGGAGGCCTAGTTCTAGAAGTCTCTCAGTAAATGGAAGAGTGTAATTGGAAGTTCTTTTTCCTAAGTAGTTTACCCAACGGTTGCCATCCTTATTATACATGCCTGTGAAAGGCTATCGGTCTGGGGGAAGTCTTTGGGGTCCAATAGATAATGGAGGATCTCACCATTTTCCTCTGATAAGCCATTGCCACCTTCCATGTACCAACTTTTTTAGGAATCTTATTTAACTTTTGGTGTAAATTTCCCTCTACATCTTTCTTATCTACAGGATATCTATATGAGTCTATTGTATATGCTTTAGGATTAAAGGAAAGTCTCCAATAGCCGTACACTCTTTCTGCTCTAGCCGTGTCTACAGCTTCTTGTAAATCTCTTACAAACAATTCCTTCTGCTGAAGTGACATCATGAAACCCCCAATACTTTTATATTTACTTATGACTTGTCTACTAGCGTCCATAAGAGGGGTTTTTAGGGTAGCTCTTAACTCTGGTGAGTTAGTCATATTGTCAGGACACTTTTCGGATGTTGGAGTCGTCAACACTTCCAAGAAAGAGCCCTGAATAAGGGAACGTTGAGCATGAGTAAGTAGAACAAGCAGCAGGAGCACTAAAAGATTAATAGGCACTCCTATACAGCGAAGAAAAGAAAAACAGGAACAGAAACACATCTTTCCCAGGGGCTTGCCAGCCTTTCCAGGAGGTAGGCCTCTTTGAAGCCCCATTCTCTGAGGTAGACTTCGGTGAAGTCCCATTCTCAGAGATAGGCTTTTTTGAAGCCCCAATCTCAGGTCTGAAAGCAGGTGTTCCATGCTAAGCAGACTCCACCAGAGTAGGCGTGGCAGAGTTCCCTCTCTTTTATGAAATTGTTGGAGGAGAATTTTCATTAAGGATTTGTTTTTAGTTGTTGTTGCTTTTGTTTCTTTGATTTTGTGCTGGTTCTGGGGCTTGAACTCAGGACATGGATGCTTTTCCTGAACTGTTCTTGCCATGGCTGGAACCACAGCTCCTATCTGGGATTTTTGCTGGTTAATTGGAGATGAGAGTCTCACAGTCTTTCCTGCCCAGGCTGGCTTTGAACTGTGATCCTTCTATTTCATCCTTCAATGTTCTGGGACTGCAGGCATGAGTCACCAGTGTCCAGCTCCAATAAATTTTGTAGACATACTAGAATCTACCAAAAATGAGCAAGGGGTATACAAGTGACTTATGCAGAAGTGTAATGTATGAGACGACAGAAGTAGTGATAGTCTCCCCAAATTGCAGAATGAATTATGAACAAAAGCAGCAGTGAGATTCACTGCTATGTGGAAAATGAACTGTACAACTAGAGGGGTGCTTCAAGACTGATTTTCATCATGTACAATTTTTGTTTGGTCAGTCGTGGGTCTTGAACTCTGGGCCTGGGTGATGTCCCTCAGCTTTTCAGCTCAAGGCGAGCACTCTGCCACTTGAGCCACAGCGCCACTTCAGGTTTTCTAGTGGTTAACTGGAGATAAGAGTCTCATGACTTTCCTTCCCTGGCTGTCTTTGAACCGTGATCCTCAGATCTCAGCCTCCTAAGTAGCTGGGATTACAGGCCTGAGCCACTGGTGCTCGGCCATGTACAACTTTTTTGAACAACAACTCCTCTGCACAACCACTTAAGGGTTAAAAAATAAATAAGATAAAACAAAATAAATATGCACAAATCTATAATATAGCTCTAAAAGAGACATATTCTGAAATCAAGCCTTAGCATCAACTGCACCCCTCAAGAGCATGTTTAAAAAGAACAGAAATAACATGATCATATCAATGCATGCACAAAAGCCTTTGGACAAGAAACTAGGAAGAGAAAGGAGGGTGTGCTTCAACATCACAAAGGCTCTGTGTGATCATCTATAGTTCACCCTGTATTAAATGAGGAAAACTGAAAACATCTGCATAAGCGAGAAAGGAGGCCATGTAGGCTCTCCATCTCTGATGCTATTTACTTTGTGCCTGGACCTTTAACCAAAGCAATGTCAAAGAAACCAAAAGGACCAAAATAGACTAAAAGAGAAATTAATCCTATTTGCAGATGCTATGATCCTGTACATAAAACATGAAAAACTCCAGTTGAATGATGCTTTTGTGCTACATGAACTCTAATGGCAAAGCAGCAGGAAACAAGCTAAATATATACTTATTGGAAGCTTTTCTATGCACAAAGAACAAACACTGAGTAGGAATGATTATAACAATGTCACTGAAACTGCTTTCCAAGCTGATATCATAATCATCAACCCAGTGCCAGTGGCTCACAATAGTCACCCTAGCTATTCAGGTTTCTGAGATCTAAGAATCAAGGTTCAAAGGCAGCCTATGCAGGCTTATATCCAATAAGCCACCAAAAAGCCAGAATTGGGACTGTTGCTCAAGTGGTAGGGGACCAGCTTTGAGCACAAATACTCAGAGAGAGCACACACACACACACACACACACACACACACATGGGTTTCATACATATGCATGTTAATTACATCTCTCTCTCTAAGTCTCTCTCTCTCTCTCTCTCTCTCTTGTCAGTCATGGGTCTTGAACTCTGAGCCTGGGTACTCTCCCTCAGCTCTTCAGCTCAAGGCGAGCACTCTACCACTTGAGCCACAGCACCACTCCTGGAGATAAGAGTCTCACGGATTTTCCTGAATGGGCTGGCTTTGCACCAAGATCCTCAGATCTCAGCCTCCTGAGTAGCTAGGATGACAGGCATGAGCCCCTGGCTCCCTGCAATCTCATTTCTCCTTAAAAACAGCGCCTTCCTGTGATAAGTTAACACTTAACACAGTTCTAGTTCATTTTCTATCTTTCTTTCTTTTTGGGGGGCAGCAGAGGGTTCAGGTCATGGGGTCTAAACTCTGGGCTGGGGCGCTGTCCCTCAGCTGTTCAGCTCAAGGCTAGTGCTCTACCAGTAGAGCCACAGCGCCACTTTTGGCTTTTTTCTTTTTGCTTATGTGGTGCTCAGGAATCGAACCCAAATCCTCATGCACACAAGGCCAACACTCTACCACTGAGCCACCTTCCCAGCCCCCATTTTTTATCTTTTTGTGTTGGTAGCCATTTTATACAAAGAAGAACCCATTGTGATCACGACATCCCAACTTTGGATGATCAATCAGTGAGCCAAGACAGAGACACCATGGAGCTCAGTGCCAAGCCATGAATGCTGGGGCTCAGTACTTCCCAGTGGAGGGCACAGTGCTCTCTGAACTCTGCCCTGTGGTGCTCAGGTTATTTCCTACCAGTGGTGTGAGAAGTAACTTTGAATGAACTCTTAGTGTCTCCATTTGACTTTTTTGACTTCGCTGGGACTGGAAGCACAGACAGACCTGCATCAGGAGAAATGCTGTGCATGTGGGACAGGGCACCTGACTGCTCTGGTCCACCACGATGACAAGAAATAAACAGGGTCAGAGTAACAGCAGCAGGGGACAAGGTGAGAAAACACTGTGGGGAACCCCTCCATTCTCTTCTGGCTGATATGGGCATGCATGATCAAGCCAGGCTTCCAAAGACACTCTGCGTGTCTGCAGTCCAGACAGCCAGAGGAAGGATTCTGCAACTCTGAACCTTGGTTCAGAGCCAGGGGTGGGGTGAAGGCCCAACACTGCCCATCCCAGGATGAGCTGTGGTTTGCAGATTCACTTCTCTCCCTATTCCTTTTTGGTACCAGTCCTAGGGCTTGAAGACAAGCCTTTGGTGCTCAGATGTTTTTAGCTGATTTGCCCAAGATTAGTTCTCTACCACTTGAGCCACAGCTCCAATTGTGGTTTTTTTTTAAACTTATTTAGTTTTTGTAATGGTAAGCATCTCCTGGACTTTTCCTGCTCTCGCTAGCTTTGATCCCCAATCCTCACATCTCAGATTCCTGAGTAGCTAGGATTGCAGGTGTGCATCATTGGCCCTTCTTCATTTCTCTCATTTGTGTTTGCGCTTGAATACACATGTCTTGTTTCTCTCAATGCTACCCTTTTCGTTCAGGTATTTGCTTGCTTTTTATTCTTTCGGGTGTGCACACCTCAGCCGCTGTGGCACAATACTGCTCGGTTCCCTCCAGACGAGTCCCGTGGTAAGTTCCATCTTCTAGGCATATTAGGAGTACTTTCAAATGTATTTACAAGGGGAATAAAAAAAAATCATGGTGTGTGTGTGTGTGTGTGTGTGTGTGTGTGTGTGTGTGTGTGTGTGTGTGATTATGTGCCAGTCCTGGGGCTAGGACACTGTCACTAAATACTTTTGGTCAAGCCTAACACTGTACCATGTGAGCTCTAGCTCTGCTTCCAGCTTTTGGTGATTCTGTGGAGACACAAATCTCACAAACTTTCCTTGCTTGAGCTGGCTTTGAACTGGGATCCTCAGATATCCTTAGATATCAGCCACCTGAATAACAGGTGAGCCACAAAAATCTTCTTTCCACAAGGGCTTGCATTTTCTCTATTGCTATCTCTAAAATTCCCATCTTAAATTAGCTTGGCAGCTACTACTTTAATGGTGAACATTTCCCCTTCTTATTGAACACTGAGTGGTGGGTGTGTGAAACGTGGGCTTGTTCACAGGAGCTGACTTGTTCTGCTCTCCTTGTTTTCATCCAGGACCCAGTCTGTAATGTTGGGGCTCCTTTCTGACATTGTTCTCTTGATGTTTGTGTCTGAATCATCTCTTTGATTTCTGTGGCAGAAATTTCATAGTGCATCTTCATAGTAGCAAGTTTTCACAGCAGATTTTTATCTTTCAATGTGTGGAGATATCGTTTTTCTGGCTTTTTCATTCAATTTGTAAAGCACAATAATTGTGTTGGGAAATGTTGTTCATCTGAAACAACTCTACCCCCTTGTCGCTTCTCTGGTCAGTGAATTGGCTTCATCAGTGTCTGAGAGAGAATAAATGGAATTTTATTCTGACTGTGTGAAAGATGACATTTAAGAAAGACTTGGTGTGCGGTTTCTCAGGGCACATTGCTCAAGAGTATGAACTGCCTTGATCAGGTTTATTCATATCATTCCCATCTTTCCTTCCCCCCTGTTATTACTGCTAATTACTAAAGTCTTTGTGTAAAATAATGCACTGCAACGGTTGATCCTAGTAACGTGAGTCCTAAAATTGCCCAGTGGGTCATTGAATGAGAATCAGAGCAGAGAGCCTTATGGAAAATACACAGCCCAAGTCAGTTCTTTGTGAGGGAGCTGCATTTAATATTCTCACTTCACACTGCTCTTCTGTCCAATAAGAAGGGAAAATATAAAATAACAAACTTCACTAGAAAGTTCTAGAGGTCATGCTAAATAACATGAAAAGTTTAAAGATAGCAGAAGAGAAAAGGCAAGCAATTGTTAAAAGATAATTTTGGTGTGTGTGGTTTACGCCTGTAGTCCTAACTACTCAGGAAACTGAGATCTGAGGATAACAGTTCAAAGCCACCATAGGCAAGAAAGTCCATAAGACACTGATCTCCTATTATGCACCAAAAAGCCAGACACGGCGCTGTGGCTCAAATCATAGAGTACTGGTCTTGAGTAAAAATTTTCAGGGACCATGCTCAGACCAACAATCAAGCCCCACAAGCAACACACATAGAAAAAGACAACCTGGAAAGATCCTGATTACATAGGAAAGATAACACATATTACCAATATGCGAATATGATAAATATTTTTGAACCATAGCCAATATCACAATTCCTCAGAATTCTAATTCATAAAAGTTAAACTGTCTCTGGAAGGCACAATGGATGCTGAGGAGAGCAACACACAGAGTTGTCATGCTCAAGAATTTGGCTGTTGCTTTTGGCCGGGAAATGGTGAGAATACTTTGGTGTAGCAGAAATGAGGGCCAGAGTGAAACTTTGTTCTGCAGGAGATTGTTCAGGAGAATGGGTTGAAAATGTTCTTACAAACTTGGTCAGGAAAAATGGGATACTAATTTAATTCAGTGCAAGGTTATTCAGGAACAAAGGATTCTATGTGATGTAAGAGAAAACACAAGAACAGTAATGAGTGAGAATGATACAGGGGGAAAACTCTCAAACGTACAGAAAATAAGCCAGGTGCTGGTGGCTCACACCTGTAATCCCAGGGTCATGGTTCAAGGCCAACGTAGACAGAAAAGTCCGGGAGACTCTTATCTGCAAGAAACAACTACAAAACCGGAAGTGGTGCTATGGCTCAAGCGGTAGAGTGCTTGCCTTGAGCTGAAGAGCTCTGGGTGAGCACACAGACCCTGAGTTCAAGCCCCACGACTGACCTAAAAAAATGTACAGAAAATATTGGTTAGATATTTACCTTCTAGTATGTCTATACACCAAGAAAAATGTCATATTGTGCTGGGTACCATTGGCTCACGCCAGTAACATTAGCTATTCAGCAGGCTGAGATCTAAGGATTGAGGTTCAAAGCCAACCCGAGCAGGAAAGTCAATGAGACTTTCAACTCCAATGAACCACAGAAAACCAGAAGTGATTCTGTGGCTCAAATGCTATAGTGTTGGCCTTGAACTAATGAATGGAGACAGGGCCCAGGCCCAGAGTTCATCCCATGACCAACCAAAAAAACAAAAGTCATGTTGTAGCCATCCCCACAGGGATTTTACATGGATGTGCTATTTGTGCAACAGGTGTTCAAAAAATGAAGATTTTACAAATAGTGAAGCCAAACAGATACACAGACTCCCGGTGCTCCTTGGACCATCCACTGCTGACCATGAGGGAGCCCCAGGGACCTCGGGAAGAGACAGCCAGTGATCTTCCTTCCTAACACCCCAGCCCAGTGTGGTGCCCTTAAATTCCCTCCTGATTCTAACATCTGTCTCCCCAGGTCTTTCCAGGCCCTATATACCAGATTCAAAGGTCACAGCACATTCATGTCTGAAATACTGAGATCAGAACATTTCCAACCCTCCAGAACTGGCAAATGGAACATTTTTCCCAGACTCCGCTTATAACAATATTATGGGCCAGACCCTGGTGGCTCAAGCCTGTAATCCCAACTCCTCAGGTGGAAAAGATCTGAGGATCCAGGTTCAAAGTCAGACCAGAAAGGGAAGTCCTTGAGACTCTGATCTCCAGTGATCTACCAACAAGCCAGAAATGGAGTTGTGGTTCAACTGGGATAGCACCAGCTTTGAGTAAAAAAGCTCAGGGACAGTACCCGGGCCCTGAGTTCCAATTTCATAAGTGGCATGACCCACTCCCCCAAAAAGAATTTTTTTTAAATCCTTGCTTAACACCTATGTTTTGGCTTTCATTCTCAGCCTAGTTTACCTGATAAATAAATGGAGCACCATGAAGATTCTTGCCTGCGGGATTCACAGTGTTTTCTAGAGCTTTCTCACCTTCCTTACTGGGCAGCACTCTTGCATGGATTCTCAGCAACACACACATACTCTCTCTCTCTCTCTCTGCCTCTCTCTTTCTCTTTCTCCCTCTCTCTCTCTCTCACACACACACACAAACACACACACACACAATGACAGCCACCGCAGGTGACACTGTGTTCAGGCTCCTCTTTGTGTCTAAGGTGTGTCTAGGCTTCCTGGGGAACTGTGTCCTCTTCCTGCTGTATGCGTACAGCTCCGTATGCAAACCCCGGATCCGGAAGCCCATTGCCATAGTTTTCATGCACCTCACCCTGGTCAATGGCTTGACCATCATTTTTGAGTCCATGCCATTCCTCATTTCCTCGTATGGAGTCCTGTGTTTCTGGGATGATGCCATGTGTAAGGCAGTGGTGTTCTTGTTCAGGGTCATGCGGGGACTGTCCACTGGCACTACTACCTTGCTGAGTGCCTTCCAGCCCCTCACCATCAGCCGCAGCCCTGCCCAGTGGGCTTGGCTGAAAAGCTGATCCTCCGCCTTCATCCTCCCCTCGCTGCTCTCCTTCTGGATCTTGAATCCTATCATGTATTTTAACATCATCACAAATGTGGAATCCAATTGCAATTCCACCGTCATGAACCTCGGATTTTCTCATCCCTACTGTCAAATGAAGTTTGGAAGGAACAACAAAACACCCATTATCAGCTCCATTGTCCTGCGAGATGCTCCATTCCTGGTCCTCATGCTGGCCCCCAGCCTCTACATGGTGACGCTCCTCTACCGACACCGCCGCAGAGCCCGGCACCTCCACAGTCCCAGCCTTGCCTCCCAGCCAGCGCCCGAGAACACAGCCACTCAAACCATCCTGCTGCTGGTCAGCTGCTTCGTGTTCTTCCATTGCTCCAACAACATCGTGACTGTGTATTCCTTGTACAAGCTGGAGAAATTGAACAAATCCAATGGTATGATTGTGATGTTGTCCTTCAGCTACCCCACCCTCTGCCCATTCTTGCTCATGAAGAATAACAGAATGGTTTCAGGATGGTTCACTCACTCATGTTATACCAAGAATGATCCATTGTAAGAGGAAGTGAAGACCAGACCATGTTGGTGATCCAACGCTGCTTGCCTCATCCTTGCTGTTTGTAGGATGATTGAAACACTACAGAGGCCAGGAGCAGTGTCTCCAGCTTGTCATTCTACTATTCAGGATGCTAACATCTGAGGATACAGGTTCAAAGCTAGCCCAGGTAGGAAAGTACATGAGACTAGAATATCTACTTGACCACCAAAGGACCTAGAGTGGAGCTGTAAGGATAGAGCACTTGACAAGTTACTCAAATTCAGATATGCTGCAATTTTAAAACATTGAGGTATTGAAGTTTTATTGAATGTGCCTTTCTTTGTGTGTGTGTGTGTGTGTGTGTGTGTGTGTGTGTGTGTGTGTGTATTTCCATCAAAGTTTTTTTTGGGTTTTGTTGCTTAAAATATAATTGTTGGGATAAAGAATGTATTTTCTGGTCTGGGAAGGTGGCTCAGTAGTACAGTGCTTGCCTTGTATGCATGAGGCCCTGAGTTCAATTCCTCAGCACCACATAAGCAGAAAAAGCCCGAAGTGGTGCTATGGTTCAAGTGGTGCGGTGCTTGCCTTGAGCAAAAGAGCTGAGGGACAATGCCCAGATGCAGATTTCAAGCCCCCGACCGAAAAAAAATTATTGTCTGTATATTATTAAAATTAACAACTGGTTCCTATTTTTATGAAGACAACGGCTAGACATTTCATTTTACCCTTACCTTTGATTTCTACTAACAGTGCTGTTTGTTAAAAGAAATTTTATTAAGCCATCCTATGAATACTTGTCAGCCAATGAAAAAGCAGGATCTAGTCAATGACAAGTCAATAGACAGCCAATGAGGGAGCAGGATACAGCCAATTACAAAGCAGGATGCAGCCAATGAGAAAGGGTACAGCCAAGGACAAAGCAAGATATAGGCCATGACACCTGTATTTAGATCCTACAGCCTCCATGATTCTACACTGTGACAAGCAGCATGGCACTGGGACACAATGGAGAACATCAGTGTTCAGGATTCAGGCAACAAATTCGATAGCACTGTGGAGAGACTATGGCTCTGGGTATAGAGCTGTAACCATGGGACTTTCTGGAGAGTGTCCTAAGAGATGGGGCCTACTTCTCTACTTTAGAGGCTGTTGCAAATTGGTTAGTTCTTTTTCCCTTTTTTGCTCAGAGACCAGGACTCCAACTTGGTATGTGACACACTTGCTCATTGGCTGATGTACTGCGAGCCTAGAATCCCACCACTGGACATTGGGCCTAATTGGAAGTGTATTTCCATTGCTATTTCCTCTTTATAAGGCTCTATACTGG